AAACAAAACAAGTTGAAATAAAATAAATAAAAGAAGCTAAAGAGGGATGATAGAACCTGTCCTACTCCATAGGAGTAGGTGAAGTGGAGATGCTGTCCTTCAACCTCTTGCATTCCTCCTTCAATCTAGCATTCTCACCAAACAGCCTTGCATTTTCTTCCTTCAAGGCTTTCAGCTTCTTGACTTGAGCACTTGTCTTTGCTTCCAACTCAGCCCTTACCAACTTGATGTCTCTCCTAGTCTTCTTCTTAGCCAACTCTCCCTTCAACCTATCTATCTTGTCAAGGAATTCATTCCTATGTTCCAAGAGGCTGCTGTTTTGGGCCAACAGATCTTTCATCATCCTTATCATCCCATCCGGCTCTTTCTCTTTCTCACCTGTTATGAAACTCAACAAAAGTAACAACCTTTCCTCATAAGTGGAGTTGTCAGAAGTAGTTGGTGAAAAATAATGTCTAATAAAGCATATCCAAACATTCTCATCAGGGGACAAATTGGCAGCCTTAAGGGTTTTTAACATGAAATGAGTGTAAGGCTCCCATTCAGTCTCAGGCATTCCTAGGAAAGCCATGTTCTCAACCAAATATGCCTCAGAGGTTGTGTGCAAGAGTGCATTATTTTCAAAATCTATGTGAGGTGAGAGACCGATCAATTTATTTATGGATTTATCAAAAGTAGACACCTTTCTTTGTGGCTCTATGGGTGTGAAATTATTGTCATGGACAATTTTATGTTGACAAAAATAAGGACTAATCCCTTTTTGGTCATCAACGGTCAATCCCATAGCTTTTGTGGTCAACTTCAACATATCCACCAATTTCTTTTCTTGATGTAATTCTAGGGTAGATGATATGATGACAGGTAACTTACCTTCTTCTCCTAGAAAAACATACTTCAAATGAGATGGGAGTTCCTTTAACTCCAAGTCAGGTGGTGAAATTATGGACGGGTTAAAATTCTTAAGCTCACTATTGTCCAGCAACTCAAATGCTGCAGCATCAGATGTGACATCACCTTCTAAATCCTCAATAGACTCATCACCTATCTCAGCACTTTCCTCTTCTTCTAACTTACAGGCCTTCCTAACTCCTTCCTCATGGCACATTGTCTCAATCTCAGTAACTCCTGAGCATTCCTCCAAGTAATCAGGGTACTTTAAGGAATTAAAGACATTGAATGTGACTTTTTGGTCTTGGAGTCTCATGGTTAGCTCTCCTTTTTGGACATCAATCAAAGTTCCACCAGTGGCTAAGAAAGGTCTTCCTAAGATTATGGGAATATCTTTATCAGCCTCAAAATCTAGAATGATGAAGTCAGCCGGAAAGATGAATTTGTCAACCTGAACTAAGACAT